TTAACTTTTTTAATTTACTTTTTAACTCTTCAATGAGCTTTTTACCTTTTTTCAGACTTGTTAACTTTTTCCAGTAGGTAATATATCATTTAAGGCTCATCTAATTAATCAAATGCCAAAATAAGACGTACAGCCATGTAGCAGAATCTCTGCTGAATGGCTGGATATAGATCTAGTGCTTCTAGACCTCACTGAGGGAGGGGGGGAGGGGCTCCATTGGTAAGGCAAGTAATCAAAAACTCTAACTTGTCCTTTAAAGGGTTAACTGGGAGGTTATGTTGGACGGGGTTTGGTACCAAACTCACTTTCAGATATCCTGTTAAAATACGACACTGATAATAAATATTCAAATATAATCTTTAACCAAAGCAAACGTCTTTAAAGTCTTATTGTTTTTTAATAGGAAATTTCATATTTTAATATGTTTTAAATAACCACCATAAATGTTTAAAATGTTTCTCTTCCATAAACATAGTTTTCCTGTATTTTTGCTCCAGAGTTGAACTTTTCTTCCTCCAATCAAAACCAGTCTCCCACTGACTGGTTTTGATTAATTAGTTAATTAGTTAATTAGTTAATTACTGCAGGATGTATGTTTATTCCTTTGCAACATGCAAATGACTTCAGCAGCCGCCTTCACATCAATACATCCAATAAAAAGATGTTATTTCAGTGAACATCTTGGCTTTGGGTGAATAAACGGCTGCAAGCCAGAAAAGTGTGGTTTAGTGATAGAGACGGTGAGTTTCCCTGGCCTGCCTCAGGCTGACGGCTCATGGAAGCAGGCTGCTGATGCTGAGAGGGAACCAACGGATGGATGGCGTCTGCAGCTCAGTCACATTAGAAAACAGGATGTTCACCTCCTTTATTCTCCCTGAAGGGGAAAATTGGTTTAACAGCCAAACATTTCAGACAAACACCTAAAATGAGGAACATTATAAACACATAAAAAGATGTTTTTATAACAGGAGGATCTAAAAAGCTTCCAGACTTAGAGGCCAGAGGGGTGCAGATAGAAACGCTTCCTGAACCTCCATCCAGAGGGAAGAAGCTGGAGCTCCAGGCTGAGAAGTTGGTCGGGATGAAAGGAAGCAGAGATGCTGATCAACACAATTATTATATTTAAACCTTTTGTTGGTCACCAAACCAATTAGCCGTAGAAACATTTTAAATAGATTCAAACACCAATAAAAGGCTCATTTACTTCCATCAAATCTTGCATCTCTGTCACCTTTTTTACAGATTGTATAATTTTTCATATTAAATGTTGATTTACAGGCATGAAAACGTTTGGGCACCCCTATTAATCTAATTATTTTTATTTCTAAATATTTGGAAGTTTGTAGCAGATATTTCAGTTTGATATATCTAATAACTGATGGACTCAGTAATATTTCAGAATTGAATTGAAGTTTATTGGACTAACAGAAAATGTGCAGAATGCATTAAAACAAAAGTTGGTGCAAAAATATTGGCACCTCAGCAAAAAAGAGACATTAATATTTAGTAGATCCTCCTTTTGCAGAAACTCTAGTTGGTTCCTGTAGCTTTTAACCACCATTCTTCTTCTCTGCAGGCCAAACGCCTGTAACTTCATACAAGTTTACATTTTTCTAAGGCTTCTGTTGAAGCTCAGGTCTCAGTTTTCTGTCTCCTGTTGTACGTATGTATTAACTTTGGAAACAATCAGGGTTTTTTTTTCTGGGCGTCCTCGGATTCTGAATCACATTTTACGTTTTTAATACATAAAAATTAAAACCATGTTTTTCTGCTTCACCACTTTGTCTCAGCCACAAAAACACATTAAAATCCTGATGAAGCTTTGTGGGTTTTTTTAAATATGGCAAAACGTTCAAGACAGCTGATTGCTTTTGGAAGACTTGGTGAACGGTTCCAGCAGCCTGAAGGCCTCCAAGGATCCAGCACAGCTGCAGACCCATCATCCTGTGGGAGGAAGGAGGAGCAGGCGAGGCTGGAGCAAAGGCAGCAGCAAACATCCTGACTGACCAGCTCAGCTCGGTTTGGGAGCATTGATTCAGATTTGACCTGAATGCAGGAAACGCCATCGGATGGAGGCAGCAGGAGGCGATCAGGCAGCAACAGATGAGGGAAAGACGTCTGCTTCAAAGGGAGCTTTACTGGAGAAATCTGGCTGAAAGTGATGCAGCTTCTATCAGACGTTGCGTTTGTTCACCTGAAGTCAGTGTGAACATGGAGTCACACTCACTGACTCCACAGGTGCTGCAGCCTCACGCTCCCAACAGGAGAAAAACAGGTGGAGGTGTGAAGCGTGGGACAAACCCAGGTAAAAATCCCAGATAAAGGAGCTTCTCCTGCAGCCACCACTCTGAGGGATCAGTGCTGCCAGAAGTCCTCCGGCGCCATATGGTCTCCCAGTATTTGTTAAGCTAAGCATGATGATCAGATGACAGAGGAAGAGTCGCTGCTATTAGCATGCAGCAGGCTGTCTATTGATTCTAAAAACAGGCTGAGGGGTTCATGAGGAGAAATGTCTCTACGTTGTGTCACAGCAGCCTGCAGAGTCAGCCCACTTCTGTCAATATTACATCCCATCCAAGTTAGGAAACTAAATCCTCCAGGTTTCCCTGAACGGCTGAGGCTTTCTGCATGGGTTCAGCCTTCAGGGCTGGAAAAGGATCGGCACGGGGCCGACATGATCCTAAACCTGTTCTCAGGCTTCTGACGGTTTCACTCTCCGGTCTGAATAAAGGAGAAGAAAATATGCTGAAGGAAACATTGAAGACATCATTAGATTGCAGAAGCAGAGCAGCAACTAGACTGCAGGGTTAATCCCAGCCTTCCTAGAGTCATGGATGTCAGATAAAGACCTGCTCTGTGGTCCAGGGTGTCTTTGGGTGTGGAAGGACCTAAACTCTCAGTGTTGGAGATGTTGACCCCAGAATACGTCTTGTTCTAAGCTGCCTGACCAAACACCTCTGACCTCATGTTTAAACATCTCAGTAAAGAAAAACAAGAAAATAACAAAACAATCCGCTGGACTTTGTTTCCATCCAGGAAGCTTCTTTATTCAAAATGTCAGAAATTGCGTTTAGTTCCAGGTTTTATCCAGCAGCCCAACAAAGCCTGGTTTTAGTTTAGAAAACATGCAAATAGAAACGGATGAACGGGTCCCCCCCTTTGGAATGGGGGTCGTTTGGCTTCTTTGTTAGCCTGCAATGCCCCATACCTGTCTATGTCTCTGAAAGGGGGGGGGGGTCGTTAGAGGGAATTGTTGGCCTGGATGAATAGGAGAGGTCCTCCGCTCTCCTGTAAAGGGGTTGGGTGGGGCTGCGATGATAGTGAAACTCAGTCGCTGCATTGAAGGTTTTTGAAAGCCCCCCCCCCCCTGTTTAAGGTTGGTTCTTCTTTCCAAATGACCCCCATTCCAGAGGCTTCACAGCATTCAATGCAGGACCAGCAGGTTCTGCAGCAGCTTCTTCCCCCCCGCCATCAGACGGCTGAACTGTTGATCAAACTCTAAATCACAGCCTCTGCATCACCCTGATGACACCAAACCAAACCTGCATATTCACTCCTTACATACTTTTCATTCAGGTAAAAGGAAAAAGTAGCCATTGAAGAAATACCTGAACTAAGAGCAGAAAAGCAGTGACTGTCATGTTGAGGACTGAGGCGTCCGTACGGGGGTCCCACTCTCTACAGCAGGGGGGCTCAGGTCCAGTCCTCCGTAGCTGCCATCCTGTAACTTTTAGATCCATCTCTTCTCTGGAACACCTGGATCTAAAGGCTCAGTTAGGGGCGGGTATTGGCAGAGAAGTCATGATGCGATTCTATCACGATGCATCACGATACTTGAAATATTGCGATGCATCGCGATATTTTCACTGAACACTGTCAGAAAAAGATACAGCCCTTACCAGTGGCTGACTGGCTGGGTGTGATCTGGATCGTGTCTAAAATTGATGCATAACTGAAAGAAACTGAATTCATCCATAGCTGTATTTATCGAAATGACTTTTGGAGGTGTTGCCATGGAAACAAATACTAGACAGAAATATTACTATTACTGGCGTGGACACACTGACAAAAAGATCTCAGGATTTATCAAACTTAAAATAACAAAATAAGGATAATCAGTACGTTTACATGGCCTCAGTGGTCCTTTAAACCAATAAAACATTCAAATGTATATTTCCCCTTTTGCAAATGACGTGCATCGTATCAATTTCATTTTTACCTTCTTTGTTTTTAAAGCCAGAATGCATCCAAGCATCTGACTTTAAACGTGATGGAGCCGCGGGGCGAATTTCCATAGTGTCCTCCATGTTTTATGTCTTATGACTCGTCGCAGTATCCCGCGGCCGGACATGCTAGTGACACAAAGCAGCGGGCGTCAACACATCCGCAGCGACATCTGCTGGACGGGAAGTTGTATTACACTTGGTTTGGCTGATGGGCGCCAACCATTCATGTATTTCATTTGTTCATTTTTCTTTTTTTTATAATAATAATAATGCAGTAGATCCAAAAAATTAGAATCGCGATGCATCGTCATGACGATTATTTTGCACACCCTTAGGCTCAATCCGCTCATTTAGCCCAGCAGAGGCGCCGTAACCAGCCACTCATTTCATTCAGGTGGGTTAAAAATGGCTGCATCTAAAACCTGCAGGACAGAAGCTCTTTAGGACGAGACTTGAACATCCCTGCTCTGCAGCAAACATGACCAGGAAGTTCAGAACCAAGATGGCGGAGAAAACAGAACCTTTTAACCGCCTCGCCGCTCAATGACTGATGGAAAATTCAAAATATTATTCTCTCAATCCAGATAAAAATATATATATTTTCTGAGAAAAATAGTTTAAACTCTGAAACTCTGTTGTTTTCTGGTTGAAGAAATAACGTCTTTCTACTTCCTGCTCTGATGTCACGGCCTCTGATCACGGCGCTGCTGCGTCCCTCTGATGCAGTTCTCCTTCCGTCTGACGATCTTTGCCGTCTCTGGCTTCATGTTTCAGTTGATGGCGGCTGGGACGAGTGGAGCGAATGGACGGCGTGCAGCGGTCAGTGCGAACGGCAGCGGAGTCGGGAATGCGGCTCCCCGGCACCCAGACACCGCGGCAAGATGTGCGAAGGAAACGGCAAGGCCACGGAGAACTGCACAGATGGACTGTGCAGCCAGAGTAAGAGCCTGCTGCCCTCTGGGCTTCACCGCCATCTTCAGGGTTTCCTCATCCTCGTCTTCATCAAATGCACCGTCTGTCACAGCGCAGCGTGTTAGGCAGGTGGCCAGTCTGCAGACTCTCAGTGCATCTAAATGGCTCTGCTTTCAGTCCTGCATACGGCTGACGTATGAGTGAAGAAGAAGAGCAGAGCTGCTGAAGGCCCAGTAAACATCAGCGCTCCGTTACGGCTATTAGCACGCACCAGTTAGTCAGTCCTACTGGGAACCATTCAGTCAGCATCCAGCAGGAGCCGTGATTGTTTTTCCTTATCAGCAGAGACGGCACAGAATTAAACATGAGTTCTGTTATGAAGCTGTTCTTTATTCATCTAGCGATGCACTAATCTAAAGCTTGATGTGAAGCTCTGAACTGATCAGTCAAAATGTTGCATTTAGCTAAAGATCTATTGAGAAAAAGCTCAACAACATCCAGCTAAATGTTTCAGACTGATTAATGAACGCTGAGTCATTATAAAGCTCTTCTCTGATTGTTTGAGCTGTAGGAGCAGGGCTGATGTCACACTGTGTGACAGAGTGCGGCTGATGCTTCACAGGATTTAAAACAGAAGCTTCTTTATCGCTAACTTGATATGTTTAACCTTCTTTGGCCTCTTTAATGTGTGATTTGTGACGTTTCCATTCCTGCTTTTCACATGTTTTAGAAATAAAAACATTTTGATTTTAGCTCGTTAGACTAGAGTCGGATCTGGATCCATTAAAAGGACAAAACAAAGGAGCTTATTTAGCATCGAATCAATCTGTCTTTTAACAAACGGCTTTTCAGCTTCCTCTGGAACACCTGACTGACCAGAAAGGACAGATTTAAGGTCTGCTTCCCTCGTTAACAACTTCCACACCGAAGAGTTGTTTCCGCCGCATCTTTAGTTTTATCTTTAACTTTTTTCCCAGACGAATCAAATCTTTTCCATTTCTTAATTTGGGGAGCAGCTTATTGATCCCGGCTCATGTAGTCAGACCTCAGGGTTCTGTCTGCTCTCTGCCTGCTTCATTTATTACTTCTTTTCCTGAAACGTCAACAATCTGAGGAGAAGCAGATGAAAACATCAGGTATGGATGATGGACGTCCTTCCTGCTGCGCCGTGTTCACATCCAGAGGGACCAGCTGAGCGGATCAGACCCGTTTCAGTTCCACGGTTTGGTCTTTAAATCTAAATTCATTTTACAGAGTCATGAATAATAAAAAGCAGGTGGAAAACTGGTGTTCCTTTAAAGAAGGAACCTGAATGCAGGATCTCAGCACACCTGAAGGCACAGGTTTGTAGGAAGAAGGCGGAGCCTAATCAGTGCCCTCAGATTCAGAGCTAACTGCGTGGCTCTCCACGCCATGGAGCGCGCCGTGACCTGTCTTTGAGAATTAAAAACCTGAATTATTCCTTCCTCTCTGACATCATCGTCCCGTCAGAGAGGAGGCGTGGTCTTTGACTAGGCCGTTTCAGCTACTAGATGTCTTCCTTTTACTCTTTAAGGACGGTTCTACTGCTGCAAACGTTCACATTCACCGATGCATCACTGCTGCTGTGAGACGGTTGCATCAGATCGTCTTTTCTTTTTGTCACTAAGGCCGTTCAAAGGTCGTAACATCCCAACGCCAGGAAACCTTCACCTTTTATCTAACGGCTCACGGTTTGAAAACTATTTTTACAGCTGGAAACTTGTTAGTAATGATAATGACTGGAATAAACACAGCTCTGCCTTCAAGGGCGTCCATCTTTCTTTTAGATCAGTCATTCTGCTGATTGGATTGATGGGGGGGGTCGAGGTACTCCTATGACGTAGTTTACTTGAACGCATCGTGTTCCGCTTTAGCTGGGGCAGCAGTGTCTGCAGATTCCCAGACTTCCTGCAGGGGGAAGCCTGAGGCGCTCCAGGCCAGCAGAGAGACATAGTCCCTCCATGGTGTCCTCCTCCTGGTCCTGGTGGGACGTGCCTGAAACCCCTCACAGGGAGGCATCCAGGAGGCATTTGATGAAGATGTCTGATCCTCCTCTGGATGTGGAGGAGAAGCAGCTCTGAGCCTCTCCCTGATGACTGAGCTCCTCACCCTCTCTCTGAGGGAGAGCCCAGCCTCCCTGCAGAGGAAGCTTGGATCCAGGATCTGGTTCTTTGGGTCCTGATCCACATTAATGATGCTAAATCAGAGCTTTGCCTTTTAGCTCAGATCTCTGAACCATTAGCAGCAGCAGCAACAGCAGCAGCAGCAACCATCCGTCTGTTGATTTCCATTCTCCCCTCAATGGTAAACAGGTGCTATAGACCAGGCGTCCCCAGAGTGGGTCCTGGAGGGCCGCTGTCCTGCAGGTTTTAGTGGTTTCTCTGCTTTATAACAGCTGATTATGATGATTGCGGTTCAGCAAAAGCCTGTTAATCAACAATCAATGTAAGTCAGCTGTGCTGGAGCTGGAAACCTCTAAACCCTGCAGGACAGCGGCCCTCAGGGACCGACTCTGGGGATGCCTGCTATAGACACTGGAACTCCTCCACTGGAGGCAGGAACTCTCCTCCAACCTTCAAAATAACTCATACATTTGTGCAAGAAAACAATAAAAAACAGAGGTGTCAGGTAACAAAGTACGGTACGAATACTTTGTTTCCTTACTTAGGTAGAAATGTTGCCTATCTATACTTACCTGGTGTCAGGTGTTGGGTGGAAGTTGGTTGAAGACCCAAATGTAGAGATGAGTATTTGCTGGTTTAAAGACAAACAGAAAAAAAAAATCCAAGAACAGAAAAACGAAAACCAGGAGACGTCAAGAGAAAACAGCCGAGGAGCCGAGAAACAAGGAGGAACCAGCAAAGAGTGACTGAACAGGAGGTGTATATATGGGAGACAGAAACAATGGGAGGAGTAATTAGCTGATAGGGAGCAGGTGTGGACAGAAGGAACTAGAGGAGCTGAGGGGAAAGGAGACTGGCACAAGGGGGCGACAGAGAGTAATTAAAAAGATAAAACGCTGCTTAAATATAACTAGAAAATAACTAGATGACGCAAAATGGAAAATAAACCCATGAAGAAGAAAACAGAAGAAAATCAATCAAATTGTGACTGAAAACCTAAAAAGAAACTCAAAGAAGTTCAAATAAAACCCGATCATGAAAACTGGAGGAATTATTTTTTATTTCTGCTCCTTACATTTTAAAAATAAACTCATTAGTTTAGTTTCATCGTTTTCATTCTGGCCTGTTGGGATTTAAAATAAAATAATAATAAAAGGCTTTAAAATAATTATTTTCATCTAGATAATCAATTTCTTTGTGGTTGGACTCGGTGCTGCCCCAACTTGTTGCTCACCACAAACCAAAATGAATCGTTTTTCCAGATGAAGCAAAGTTAAACGTGACGCTGTTACCATTAGTTATAAAACTAAGAAAATAAAATCTAAGGAAGTTATCATCCAGAATTATAGAGCAGTAAAGCTTCTGAAATTAACAGTTTTTTCTGCATTTCTTTTACTTTTAATAATTTAAGTAGTTTTAAAAACTGTAAAAAGTACATCAAAGTGTTTTTAATAAACATTAATAATAATGAGCTCAGATCCCAGTTTAATTTGTCCAAAGTGGAAAAAATGATTCAACATCTTTACTGAGCGACTGAAGCTGTTTCACTTCACTTTGTTGCTCTCATCTTTCTCAGTCTGAAGAATCTTAATCTGTAATCCAGACTGAGGAGAGATTATTCTCATTTTAGAACCAAACAGACGAAAAGTGAATTTCTTCTATTTTATTCTGACCAGTAAAACCTTAGAACTGAAAAGCAACTGATCTTCTGACTGTTGCTTAAAAAAGATAGATTTTATGGCAGCTTGAATGATTTATTTCAATAATCTAACAAACCTTTGATGCTTTTTTTAAACTCATCCTTTAGTCGGATCCTAAAGGAGCTGAAGCACCTTTTCGGTCCCTGTGGAGCCAAAAACATGTCCTCCTGCCCCGTATCGGTTTGTCTCTGTGAGCTCCGTCAGCAGAAGGTCCTGCTTTTAGTCCTGGTTCAGCATCTCCATCCTCACCTGTTAGTCGCTGCACTTTAATCCGCTCTTCCTCTCCTCTTTGTCTCATCCTATCTCTCTGTCTTTGCAGATGGAAAGCTGCTACATGATGTTAAACCTCAAAGTGAGTCTTCCTTTCATCTTCCTCTCTCCTACCCCCCCACCCCCTGCCTGTCACTTAACGTGTAATTTGCCCTGAAATCTGAGGGCAGGAGATGATTGAAATTTAAAGCTGTGAGGAAACAGGAAGTGAAGGGAAACGGTTGAGCTTCACGCTCCCAGAACAGACGCTGGAAATAGAAAGGTGAGGAATTAGCAGCGTTTAGTTCACCTTCAGCTCCTGAATTAACCAGCAAACGCTCGTTACACCTTCCTGTCATTATATAGGGACTGACTTTGGATGACAGCCGTGACATCACAGCTGTGTTTCTGCTCTGAGCCAGGAGATAGATGGGTTGTGACAAGTGAACATGTGCTGCGTGGTGGAGGATTAATGGGCTGTAATCATTGCAAACCAGCTCATTTGTCCAATTTAGGCTTCTGTCCCGCCCTTCCTGTGGCAGCTGTCAATCACAGATTGGACTCAGCCCCGCTGAGCGATTGTCAGCCCCTACTGCAGCCTGAGCATTTTCATTAGCTCACCAATCTATGGTAAAAACCCTGCAAGTGCAAAACGCCGTACAGGACGGGAAAGCAGAGCTTTCACTTTTCCTGTTTCACGGTGGATCGGCGTGCGACCGCTGGCTCTGGCCTCCATCTTTAGAAAACATCATAGATAGAAAAAACTGCTCTTTATCTTTAGTTTGCAGTTTAAATCATATAAAACGAGTAGAAAGACCGATTCCCTCCCTTTGGATCGTCACTTTTTGTCATTTATCTGATGGTTTTATTACGTGAAAGACAAAAACTAAATCTATAGGAAGCCATTTTTGACATTTCTACGAAGCAAAGAAAG